CCTGTTTGGTGAAGACGCTGATAAATTGCAGAGCCTTTTCGTAGCACTAAGCAACAATGCCAGAATATTTGGAATGCACTTCTCTCCCTCTAAATGTAAGTTGTTGCTTCAGGACTGGTCTGAGTCAACACCTGAACTAAGCATAGGGAGTGAAGTAGTCGAACGAGTTGACAACTTCACTTATCTTGGAGGTCTGATCAGCCTAATGGGTTAGTGTCTGACGAAATTCCTAAACGGATTCGAAAAGCTCGTTTGGCTTTTGCCAACTTACGTCACCTTTGGCGAGGGCGAGATATCCATCTATCAATAAAAGGACGAGTATACTGCGCGGCAGTCCGTTCTGTTTTACTTTACGGCTGCGAAACATGGCCATTAAGAGTAGAAGATACTCGTAAGCTATTGTACTTGACCACATATGCCTTAGAAATATTGCTGGCATCTGCTGGGATCACGGGGTATGTAATATTGAGGTTAGACGCCGGGTATTATGTAATGATGATAAATCTTCATCGACTGAGATGGTTGGGCCACGTGTTACGTATGCCTGAACACCGACTACCAAAACGTGCAATGTTATCCGGTATTGGAGATGGTTGGAAGAAATGGCTCAGAATCGATCACAATGGCGTCGGTGTATACACTCTCTGCCTTCCCTTAAACTGTGAGGTTAAAATCGCTTCATATCTTTCTTTCTACGAATTCTTTCTTCCTATACTATATCCTTATATGCAATCTTTCTTTTATATATTACCACAACTGAATTAACTACTTTTATGAATCCGGTGTTCATCTTGTTGTGTTAATGAGGTATGGCTACTTGGACCGAGGTATATCTATGCCTGGTCCTACGTTGTAGCTGACTGACTGACTATAACATAATTGATTACAGATACTGAGATGTCAAATATGATTAAAGTGCTTATCTATCACATTGTATCGTATTTTACGGGAGAGTAGTATGGTGTTTGTAGCATGAACTTATGGTGTATTTAAAACTTTTGAGTAATTATAAAACTATGTTGAGGAAATTCCCAAAAAAACATCTATTGAGATAAATAGTTCAATATTTGATTGTATTATATTTGATATCGTATAGTTGTATAAAACAGTCAAATAATTCTCATGTCAGTTTCCTCTTGTGGTTAGCCTACACTTATTTAGTATAGATGAGATACTGTAGATTTAAATTTACCACTAAAGTCAGGAAGATGAATTCTAATTTTGATAATGAACTAATTACCTGTAAATTCAGAAAAATGTTCAACATTAAATAAACATGATTTTTAAAATATTGTTTTTATCAAAAAGTGTTAGGTTTTTTCAGATATAATGTCATTTCAATTTATGTATATTATCACAGATTGAAATCATGAGTCAGTTGAAGCTAGACCACCATCAGTGGTCTAATGGTTAAGTGCTCGCGCGCGAAGCCAGTAGGTCCTGGGTTCGAATCCCGCGGGGTGCGAGATCGTGGATGCGCACTACTGAGGAGTCCCATACTAGGACGAAACGGCCGTCCAGTGCTTCCAGGTCTTCAATGGTGGTCTAGCTTCAACTGACTCGTGATTTCAATCTGTGAAAATTTCTAAAATCTCCACAAACCCCTTCTGATATTATGTATATTAAACAATTTGTCGTAGATGTTTATGTGGTGTAATTCAATTCACCATAAGCTTTTAGTAACGAATGTTACAAAAAAAGAATAATAGAATACATAGGAATTATGCAGCGAGTAGTACGTTTGAAATGTTTTCGTTGTAAAATGAATAGCAGTCAGGAAGTTAGTTCATTTTAAATCTGAGATCTTCAACAATTTGCATAGAATTGAACCAAACATTGATTGATGTACATCCATGAAGTGCGACATATAACTTGTCGAATGGGATGAGTATCATGCACTAACTCAATATGTCTCCACCACTTGGATAATATAACGTCAGTGGACTAAAAACTTTGATTATAAACATGAATGGGAGTGCTAGTTAAGATTAGACTGTATCACATGATAATTTATGTATATCGAGTAAATAATTTTTAGAAGAATAAGTGAACTTTTAACGTAATTGAAGGATATGAAAGAAAACTAGGTTAATGAATGTGGTGGTTTACAGCATATTGTACACTATTATCTTGAAGACAGTTCTCAGAGATTCTAACATACATCGTTCACTATTGTAATTAGTGAAATTACTGTTGGATTGTTTTCAACCACTTAACGCCAAAATAGACAACTATAATGAATTACTTACCATTTGACAAAATCCTATCATCATTACAAACTAAACAGTATGACATATGTTCTTATGCAATGATCGGTTGATGTGGTATCTTTACATTTATTCCCTTTTTCTATAACGTTATTTCCACACATATAACTTCTTATGAGGACGAGTAGATTGAATCTCCTCTTCCCACCGAAATGATCGTAAAGACGAGGCGTTTAGTTTACTTCCTCTAGTGTTTTTCTGAAAGTGGACGAAAAGCAAAAATCAAAACTGGTCAATCGATACAGAGTACCTCCCCAGGGGATTTGCAAAACCGATTGCCACGGGATTGTATTTTCTGATAGTGTTGTACTATCTTGCGGACTAGATCTTTAGGTTGCATGCTAGGGTAGTAGATCTCTAAGAAAATCACCTACTTCGCTTCGAGCACCCAGGAAATAATCCATACAACAGTAATATGAAAAAAACAAATATTTTGAGAGGTAGCAAGTTAAAGCATTCTCTACACCAGACAGTGGATGGTTCACTACATATAACTAAAGGTATTAAGATTACTGAGATATGGGTAGTCAAGCTACGCACATACTAATGGAGAACAATTTTTGTACCCGATAAATATAACTATAAAACGTCAGCCAACATTTCAAAACAGAGTTACTGAACGGGAAAATATGTACTATTCGTTGCAACTGTTAAAAGGATCACATTAAAATATGTGCGAAACCGACTACTAGATTAAGTGATGGATATGCATAAAATGAACTATTTAGCTTATATTTTGTTGCATACCTTCCAGCTGTCTATGCCAATATGGAAGAGATTTCAAATTATAGGCCTCTGATCACTAATATTAACAGTTTAATTTGCCAAACAGTAAACTAGCTCATCGCGGAGTCAAAATATATTTTCGACGATGCATAACCTAAAATCTGTTTAGAGCCGGTCGTCGATTACATTCAAAATCCAATTCTATATTTTGCTGGCAGATTTCGCCTTGTTTGTTTTCGAATGAAATGACGTTTGACATTTTTACAATTAACTGTTTCTACAACAACAGTGAGAATCAGTATTAAAGTTAAACAGACGATAATTGAATTTTCATTATCACTTTGTGGAGATTACTGAATTTCAGTGGTCTAGAGGTTAAGCATTCTCGCGCGACCGGCGGTCATGAATTCGACTCCTACGTGCAAAGACGTGAATGTACACTGCTGAGGATTTCCATACTAATACGAAAAAATCATCCAGGCTATCAATAGTAGTCTCACTTAAATCGGTTCATGATCTAAATAATAATTGAATTATTAATGAAACTCTGTCATTTTTCTATAACAACTAACTAGAACAGTGCGTCAATGATTAAATTATTCGGCTTTCAATGACCAGATCACAGCTTTAAATCTAATTTCATCTACTTCTGTTTGGGTACTCAGAAAACAAAAATCACTAGCTCATAGCATACTGAGAATGTGACATACAGTTAACTACACAAATCTATATCGGTTAAATGAGTTATGCTTGATTATTATATTGTTATAAACATTTAATGAACAGATTTGAAACAGAACAAATCCTACATTTGATTATTAGTCATTAGCATTTACTAAAAGGTACAAAAAACCCTTTTTTCCCTCTAAATTATCAATGAAACAAAGATGTAACGTAATAATTGAAACAGGCAAATCATTCTTAGTTTAAATGGTGTTAAGTATATACGAAAACATTATTTAGTTCTAGAGTTTATTGTACTCTTTAATCATATGGGAACTATGTTGAATTTTCTTTACTACTCACTTCTCTTTTTCACTATTCCTTCTTATTGATTGATTTTTCCCATAAACTATGTAATATTTACAAGGGGAAAGCAAAAAACAAGGACAGGATATTCTTTTCCAAAAATATTGATAAATTTAATAACTACACTATTGCTATACTCTTTTACGTAAGATAAAACTCACAGAAAAAAAGCCAATTAAGAGAAGCTAGCAAGCAATTGAAAGAGAAGTAATGGGGAGGGGAAATAAACTAAGCAAATAGTACATGTTTTCTGTTTTTGTTTTTTTTCCCTATAAAATACATAACAATAACAATAATAATGATAATGAAAGAAGTCAGAGAACTAGAATCGAAATCACTAAGGCAAATAAGGCTAAATTATTGAACAAATATTAAATCTCAAATAAAGAAAACAAAACATCTCTGTGAAATTGGTATATAAGTCCGTAGGCGTAGGCGGTGAAGTAGATGATACATGCATACAATGAATGTTCGGTTGGACAGGTGAGCGCGCACGCACGCACGCATATACAGAAATACTAAGGCGCAAAGAAGTGCAGGAACGAAGGTACTACATGTTCGACTAATAAAAGAATATTAATATTATACTGAGTATCCGGTTTTAATAATAAAAAAACGGCTGTTGTTATTATTATTACTCTGATATTGTCATCACACTTATCAGTAGTAATAGTAGTATAATTGCTACATTAAAAAGCGGTTATAATCATATTGACAATTAGTGACCATTTTAATATCCTGAGAAATATCCCATATATATATTCTATAAAATAGTGATTATCTGTCCAGTGAAGAGAAAGGATTGTTGTGGAGGCGCACAGTTAGTTTGAGTGCTGGTCAGTTTATAATCTATTTGAAATGGATCTCACAAAGGGTTTATCAAAACAATAAGAGTAGCTTAGCGACAAAAAAGATATATGGTCTTTTATCAGACAAAAATAACCTGAGTGCTATAAATATTTTCTTCTTTGTTCAAACGGGGTAAAGACTAGTTGAAAAAAAGACAAGGAACACACGTACACATTAGTATAGAACACAGTATGACCGAGAAGTTAAGCTTCAGAAAGTACCTCAGACTTGACTAATTCCTTGTTTAGTTCATCTTGACAACCGACTACACGTGTAGTCATCAATGAAATACGACACCTAATACAGACTAATACGATGAAAGTGCAAATTAGTACAAAGAAACAAGTTAACGCTGCTGCTCCGATTAGAAAAGTCATCATAAAACGATCTCCATGTAATAATGAAGAAAATGATAATGATGATGACCAATATAAATTATTCAACACAGGTGACAACTGATTATTGTCATAATTATAATTGTGTGAAAGTAATGGTTTGAATAAATCGAGTGAACGGAAATCTGGCAGATTAATCGATGATAAATAAGCCATTAAACTATGTATATGAATTGGACGAATTTCTTTGGTAAAATTTAATTGAACACCACGATTAGAATTTGGACCATAAATAAATAATGGAATATGCATGTCAGGTAGTTCTGGATCATAACCATGCATTCCTTTAGGATCGATCAAATTGTAATGACTCATATTTAATGGCCATGCATTGGAATGAAATATATAATCCGGTGAAGCGATTAACAATATCGGTGGAAATAATGAATTATTATTATTCGTCGTAATTTCCCAATGTAAAGGGATTGTCGATGAATTGTATACAGTGAAAGGAGATTTACTCTGTTGAATTAGTAAGCGATTATAAACCTAAATGTTTCGAAGATAAAAAGAAAAGTAAACAATTGTGAAGATGAAAATCTACTAAATAACATTAACTTAGAATAATCAATTATGAATATATAACTTCAATATGAACTTCAAGACAGTACTACTGTACGGAACTGAAACTTCGAGAAGTACCACAAACATCATCAAAAAAGGTACAAGTATTTATAAACAGTTATCTACGCAAGATAATCAATGTCCATTGACTGGAAACCATCAGCAACAGCCTACTGTGTGAGAGAACAAACTAGCTTCCAGCGGAGGAGGAAATTAGAAAAAGAAGCTGAAAGTGGATAGAATATAAATGGAAGAAATCAAAGTGCATCAAGAGGGAAGCGCTTACCTGGAATCCTAAAAATAAACGAAAAAGTGGAAGGCTAAAGAACACACTGCATCAAGAATCGGAAGCAGACATGAGAAGGATGAATAGCAACTGGAAAGAATTGCCCAGGACAGGGTTGGATGGAGAATACTGGTGAAAGGCAGTGATTATTGATTAAATCTATATGATTAGGACTCAAATGTATGGTATAGTGAAAAAAACGTCATACTGAATAAAATACATAACGAAAATGACCATGATACACTAAAATATAATTCTGAAATAATCGGTGATCTTATACTTCTTACTACTTGTTCTCCTTAAAGAGTAGTAAAGTTTCTCTATTGATCTTACGGAAATTTTCTTTTTTTATGAAATTGTTGGTTTTAAAGATATGTCCCACCATGGCGTACTATTTAGTTCCTTCTCAACTGATGTTTCCGTGTTGATATTTGCAACTGGTCAACAGGATGGGGTAAAAGTTGTCAACTTGATAGAAATGTAACTTGGTTACCCAGTTCAGGTTTATGAATTTATCATCTAAGTCAGACGGTTATGGTGGGGGATAACAAACTACTCCCGGTGAAGTTGGATTTAAACCCATAACCTACTAATTGAAAGTAGAGTGCTCTAACTATTAAGCCATCACTCTAGACATTAATATCTCCATTTTGTTTTGAACTGTTATAGAGAAGGGTTTTTATAAAACTTATGATCATAAGCATGCTTTACTTGTTAAAATGATGATTAGTAGATAATCTGTAAAAATACAATATGTTCGATAAACAAGTCACTTCGTCATAATTAACGTAGAGAGTGGTATAAATGTAGGCTGATCCAAGTTGCTACACACAAGACTATTGAGATTGCCAAATATCGAAATAATAAATGCAGGAAAAAACTAACTTTAATCTCATTAATCAAACGTAGGATATTGATAGAACAATCAACATGAATGTAAATTTGCATACTAAACTTCAAGATTACAATTGAGGTTTTAAAAAATTAAGAAAAGGAACTAGATAAATGGGGGTTATTGATGTGTGGGCATGAATGATCATGATTGGTTGTCTGCTTAGTCAGACATGTAGATAGTCTGACAGGTGTCAGATAAGTTATGTATTCGATTATCCTTATTATTGGGACGCACTTATTATTGATTGTTCATTGCTGTGGATTGTGTCGGTTTTTGGTATGGAAATATATTTACGTTGTGGTCAGGCTAATTACGTGTTCTTGATCTGAGTTGTGTTGACGTCCTGTAAAATAGACACTGGGAAGGAATCTAGTGTAGATAATCATTTAAGGTAAATTAACGTCCCACACGTGTAAACGTGGAAACCCAACCGTTATAACATCAGACGAAGTAAAACCAAGCGTTATAACAGTTGTATTGTTAAACACAATGACAGATAAGCGGTAATAAATGTGTTGAATTTTGTTGATAACAACTTACATTGTTTTCAAATTCTGGTTTAGGCCAGATCCACAATGTACTTCCACGATTCAGTACTCTATCCAACTCTGAGCTACAAATAAGGAAAAGCAACAAAAAAAATACATCACCTTTAAAAATTGACGAATAGTTGTACAACAATTACAATAACTCTACTGGTATACAAAATGTCCAGATCTATACTGGTTTTGTACGATATCACTTGTGTGAAAATGGCTTAACGTCAACAGGATTAATATAGTCATACTATTCGTGATTTAAACTGTTAAAATTCTAAAATCTCCACAAATTCCCTACACTACTAATAGTCATGTTCTCACTGATGACTTGGTTTGAGATGTAACTTATGGAGTTCTAGTGCGATGTCGTGACCAGTTAAGTCTAAGCCGTGTCGGGTGTGAAACAGCTATCCAGAGTAGGCAAACGATGATGGTTGCGCAAGATCATGGATTAACTGAAGTCAGATATTAACGCGGCAAGATGTCGGCCCAGTGACCTAGAGGTTAAGCGGTTGCACACGAGACCGAGGGTTCTGGGTTCGATTCTGATTGCGAGTTCGTTGATGCGCACTGCTGAGGAGTCCCATGCTATGGTGAAAGGGTAGTTCAGTGCATCCAGGTTTTCAGTGGTAGTCTAGCTTAGATAGACTCATGAATTCAACTGTGACAATCTGAATTCATTGAATAATGAAGAAAAAATAATGCTAGTCAATTGTTTTAAGAATTACGAAACAAGGCGCGAAGATTTTTCTCAACTATTAAAGTACTGATTTGTATGTTTAACTCTAAACTGTGTTGTGCTTGATTGTGTAGGAGAGGGGCTGATGATATTAATGCAGTCTATTAATATTGAAAGTTTAAAATTTTAGACGTGATGCACCCAAACGCTTTATTAAACGTACGTTAAAATAATTCCCAAAATTAAAGACAACAAGCATCTCAATAACCCATATAATATTTCTTCTACACTAATAAGACACTTAATTCCTTAGGACGAACAATGAACGATTTGTCAACCCGATCTCTCTATACTAGATACTCAGCTAGCACTATTCTACAAGGTATCAACACAACTCAAATCAAGAACACGTGATTCATCTGACTAGTACGTGTATTAGCTAACAATCGAGTATGTACAAAGGGTCAGGGGAAGATGTATGACACATCATATATCTATCAGTCGTCTCTCTGGGAAAACAACCAATGATTATTTCCTATCACCCACATAACAACGAAATAAGATGAGGCACCTAAAAGCGTGAATTTCATTCAATGAAAGTATATCCCTTCTACCCCACTACTACTAAATTTGTATCGAGAAGCCGAAAATCTGTAAAAACTGCAATCACTAGTCGGCTAGATTTATCAAAACACAGATTCAAGGAGAATTTTGTTTAAATATTATTATTTCAAAAACTGTTGTTATTTTTAGATATTATTATCATCAATTTTAATTGACGACTGTACAGCAAGTAAATTTTGGAGAAAAAATTACAAAGAAACATTTAACTAAGTAAAAACGAATTTAAATTCTGTACTAATTGTGAACAATAATTACATAACCAAAGAAAAGGCAATAGTACATAGGAATCAATAGAGATATGTTTACTGATCAACTATTATCCTACATTGATTCATGTGACTTAACAAAACAAACTAATTCGTAGAAAACCAATGTAATGCATCAATGTACAACTAATTCATTATGACCATATCTACATAATCACTTTGAAAAAACAAAAGCATAGAACAAACAACAAATACGAAATAATCATATGTCATTTGTTTAAAAAAATTGTTCGTAAGTTGTAAAAGATCGACTATGAAATGATCAGTGCTTAGTAGCTCATTAGACAGTCAGTAAGTTAGCTACAATGCAGAATCAATCATATATATATATACATCGATCCGAGTTGTCATACCTCATCAGCACAACACGATGAACACCAAATTCATAGAAGTAGTCACTTCAATGGTAGTATTATACAAAAGAAGGATTGCATATAAGAATATAATAAAGGGAGAATTACTTCGCAGAAAGAAAGGTAAAAAGTAATTTTAATTTCACGGTTTAAGGGAAGACAAAGAATGTATACACCTACTCCATTGTGATCGATTCTGAGTCATATCACCCAGAGTCTCCAACCAAGTACTTTGCATCTACCAACTTCGTTCAGATCACAGGTTAGTGACTTTATGGATTGATGCCAAGTTTTGATTTAGCAAGAGAATTTCCGCTAGTTTGGTGGAAAAGTATGGAAACTATTGAAGTAGGAGTAGTGTGGAGAAAGTGAGACTCCTAACATTTTTTTCTGAAATTACAGTTAGACAATGAGGAACGTCAGATCAACTCGGATGACGATTGCCTACAGCAATGTCAAGATCTAAGTAACAACATATTTCCCGGTATATATATATATGGATATGTGAGGGTAATTACAACAAACAAATGTATTAATATATCACATCTCACCATTCGACTTTGCTAAAAAGAAATCGATCAAAAGCAGTTAATACATATATGGAGATATGGATGAGAGAATTTCCACTTAAGGTATGCTTTAGGCTTGAAATAAATAAAAATTCTGCCAGTGTATTATTTATGATGAAGAGGTTAGATCTTCAAAACACTTTATACATCTGTAAACTATACTATCTGGGAAAAACTAGATAGGATTATCACTAGTTCAATTAAATTAGTTTAACATTAGGATATTTGCAGGGATATTAAAATTCGGATGAATATAACACATATTAATTATTAACTGCTTTCATAACCAGTAATAGTTGTTCGAAACAAACTGAACATATTTTATATTACACAACCAAAAAATATTTGTAATGTCAGAAAATTAATTGTAATTCTGTAACACGTTTAAAACCTTATACTATCAACTTTCTGTTTCCATTAACGAATTGTCGTAATCTCACGTTAGTGTTATTTCTGATTGTTGTCAAATGCTTTCGTTATTAAATATAAATGCAATCTATGTGCATACCGAGTCGTCGTCTCACTTTTTCTATTGTTTTTCTCTGTTCTAGGTAATCTCACTTACTACTTCTAACACGCCCCCAACACACAAGGTACCGACCTTTAAGCTAGACATAAACTTACCAAAGACTGAACGTCACACGCATAACCTATTCAGTGAACTTGTGTGTTTGATTAATGCATTCTAAACAGAATGTAACAAAATATACGTTGATACTGTTCGGATGTATTATATGATTTTTTTAGAAGTCATCATTCATAAGATCAATGTTTAAAATGTTCAAAGTTGCAAAGTACCACGGCAAGGACAAGGAATCGGAAAGTTTACAATTTTGCACAATCATTGATTTAATATGAAGTACGATAAAATATATGCCACATAGCACACGATAACAATTAATGAAAACGTTTAATAAAGATGAGGAAGATATTGAAGTAAAAAAAACAATGAAATGGGGTTGGTGCTAGACAGTAATACTAACCACAAGAAAAAAGATTATTCCTTGTTATCTGAGACTTTCAACCACCAATTTTTATCATTCTGAAGAATTTACTAACAAATTTTAGATCACTACGTGCAAAACCAAGTCAATAGTTAGTGATTTTGTGGAAATGATGTCATGGCTTGATTAAATCCCCTTTCATGTTATCACAGGCTAACGTTTACTTCAATCAATACTGTGTAATAGGCGTAAATAATGATGTGAGGGAAAAAATAATAAAACAATAACACATTTCTTACTGTCGAAATTCAATTTACAGTTGTGCTTCATAAATGAAGTTCGAAATGTTAAAATAAACAAAACACAAACATGAAGGTCATGTAAATATGGATTGGCCAAAAAACAAACATAATTGGTAATCGAGTATTAAAATAAAATGCCAATCAATAATAATAATTCCTATTTAATTACTAATATCTTATACTGATCTCGTTTAGTGGAGTAAAAGTAGTTGAAGATTTTCAGCAACAATTTACCTTAACTAATTGATTTTAGAAACTGAACATTTTTCATGATGAAATAATGAAGATGCAACCGAGATGGAAAGTTAAATGAACATTTAAAACAGTAAGATAGACTAACCGAAATGTCAGAATGGGGGTTTGTGGAGATTGTAGCAATTTTAATATTTGAATTCATGAGTCAGTCTAAGCTAGACCACCGTTGAAAACCTGGAAACACTGAACTGCCGTTTCGTCCTTGTATGGGAGTTCTCAGTAGTGCGTATTCACGATCCTACATGCAGGACATTCTGTCTCGCGCGCGAACGCTTAATCGTTGCGCAAGATCATCAGTCTATTGAAGACATCAACACCGCTGGATGCCACCGGCTTAGTGATCTAGAGTTTAAGCGTTCGTCCATGAGACCGAAGGTCCTGGGCTCAAGTCCTGCATTCAGGATCGTGGACGCGCACTACTGAGTACTACATACTAGGATGAAACGGTAGTTCAGTGTTTCCAGGTTTTCACTCAAATATCTCGTCTAAATATTACATCAATTGGTTGAAATAAAACTAAGGTCAGATTAGCACTAATGTTTTACAGATTATACGGCAAAGGATTTTATCGACTCATTTATTTATAGCAAATAAAAACCCCAATATATTAGGACAGTAAGAAAATGGGCCTCATGAATAAAATGGTGATATTGGGAATAAAATCAGAAGCGAAGAGGCTCGCGTACGGTTAAAATAAGTAAATGAACAAGAACAGTATTTATTGAGGAAAATACAACCAGGAAAGATTTCCTCCAGTTAAAAAGGTTCATCTCACTACTATGGATAATGTAACGGGAAAATGAATCACAAAATATACTGACTTCTACACTGAAGCGTATCTTATGAACTATAAATTATTCTGAATAGTTCGATGATTGTGATCGGAAGATTATCTAGGATAAAGAGTGTGATAGTAGAACTAGCATTTACTGATGATTCCTAGTATTTCTATAATTGAAGTGGCTCTCTTATGTCAGAATTCACAAGCTTATCAACTTAAAGTTGATTTATGATACCTTTTTAGTAACTATGTGATAAAACTGCTATTCCACCTTTGATTTTTAAAAATTAACCAGTCAGTTTTGATTAATACAGAGCTTGCCATAGATATGCATTATCCCAAGTTAACATAGCACATTAGTAGTAGTAGCAATAACAATGAAAAAGATTAATAATTGAAAATATGATTTAAAAAGGTAGAATGAAAACGTATAAACAAAGGAATACCAGAACTAGAGATCTAGGGTAATATAAAGAATGAACGAACCTACGATACATAATAAGCCAAACTACTCAATGTCTTGAACCACGGAGACCCCAATCTGGTAGTTCGGATCTAACAACACAGCCCAGATGGACGGTCAATAACTTTATGGACACTTTAGCGATGGTAACAATAAACTGTTATTTCAAAGTACAAATTTTCGTTTAATTACACAACTAGATAGTAAACATATTACACAGGCGAAATAGATTTTGATGCAAACATACAAAAAACATGATGATGGTTGTTTAAACAAAGATAGAAATCACATCTTACCCTTTAAAATAACGATCAGCATATGCTTGATGTGAGACAGTCGCCATACCATGGTCAGAAGTTAGCATTAAATTTAAATTTGGTATAGATTCTATGGTGTTCAATGCATGGTCTAAAACATGATCCAAATACACTAAATGTTTATGAACTAATTCATTAGATAATGGACCATATCTATGTCCGATACGATCTAATTCATCGTAGTATACCACTGAAACAGAGAAAAAGATAAAAAAAAGAGTAAACAAAAAATAACGTATGTAATATTCACTATGTAATAAGTCCATATTTTTTTATTAAAGTTGTATGATGGGTAGCAGTGGAATTCAATAGTTGATCTTCGCCCTATCAAAGGTTCAGTCAGATAAATGTACCTGCATTCCAGTGTTCGTATTCACACTGAGACCTGAACCCAGTATCGTTCGCTCCAAGAACCAATGTGTTATTTCATGAGCTAGAGTTCAAATAATCTCTGCTTTGTAGCTGAGTGAATAACGCGTTGATATTTGGAGCAAAAGGACTGTGTTTAAATCTTAATGAGAGCATCAACAATGGGATATGTGTACATCCGGTTGGTTTGGTCCCAAACAAGACAAAATGCGTGTCCCCAAATCCACACCACACCATTATCCAAATTTAGTAAAACACACGTGACTAAATGACAACAGCGAAGGCATTCACTCAGGATGCATATATGTTAAAAAGTCACTGATCTATTGCAGACTTTAACAACTAGAAAGTAAAATCCCTTACAAATGATAAATCCACATATTATATCATATCTTTTGTGAGATAACTAAGAATAAGGCAATTCAGACAAAAATGAATACAAAATACTGTGCTAATTCAAGTGATCTCCTAAAATCGGACAAATGATTATACAAATTAAAAAGGAAGTGATAAATCTAAACCTATTGGGTACCAAAACCAGTGATTTGTGAAGGTTAAGTCGTTCCTTGGAGTCGTAAATTTTCTAGATCCGATTCCTGGTAGGATTGTGAATAGGCATCATTGAGAAGTCCCATACTACGATGAAACAACTATTACTTATTTTCTGATCTTCAATGATTTTCAAAGTAACCTTAGTCTCTTTACAACTTCCTGTACCAAAAAAAATTAACGAACTATTTTATCCGATTAGAGTCCATTTTTGTGATAGGTGCATATCGAAACGATGTAATGTGGACTAAGTGTGAGTATTTTGGGAGGAACACGCAAAACAATTGACAAGAGTACAATGATAATTTGAGCCAACTAAAATGATTTGCGCAAACATTTTACCCATGACAAAATGCTGCTTATCTGCTCACCAACAACTAGCCAACATACTCTTACAATAGTAAAATTTTCATACACAGCTGTCATAACTGTTAACTTAGACTGTCTTATTATTACAGGCGAAGATATTTGTTTGAAATCTATCTGCTGCATAGTCTGCTCATAGGTTGAGTGAAAATACAATGATTTCAGAAGAAACTAAATCTAGCCCATCCCCTTCCAAAGACATAAAAAATTGAAAATTTCAAACTTCAATAAAATGAATAATCACTATAAACAAAGAGATGACTAGTGAACAAATTCATTAGCCTAATCCATAAATCTTTGAAGATTGAGCCGATGTTTGGTTACTGAGGTTTGAGGATTCGAACAAGAAAGCCAATGACTATTGAACACACACTAGGATAAAGCAAATTAGGAGTATTTTTAAATTCTATTGTTAGATATTAACAAACTATTTCTTATAAAATAAATAGGGAAAAAATCTATTAGAATGGTTAGTTGGAATAACAGATGAAAACTATTGTAGATATTTCATTCAGTTTTATGGCACAGACATTCTGTATGGAACTATAGGAACAATTAAAAAAGAAAAAAAAATTGATCAAATAATTTACATTGGTTCAAAATTTTGTCTACCCAAACAGGAAGTGAATATAATTGTGACCGAACAGACAATTTTTTTGATTTTATAGTTAAAATTAACTTTAACAAAGTTCGAATAGTTAATAACTATGCATGAATTTATCATTATGCATGATTTATCAAGTAAGTACTTAGGATTGATGACGTGGATGGTAAAATTAGTCGTTATGGAGAAACTTGTGGCTCGAAATCGAATTGATATACACGTACTTACCTACTGAATAACATTACTTATTATTTATATTACACGAGCCAGTCAAATTTGTAAAGAGTTGGTTTTTATGTCACATCATGCGCAGTAACTGTGAATTTAACATTCAACCTATGAGTTGTAAGTTTGAAACTCGTTATATCTATGAAAGTTACGATGATAACAAAATCTTTACATAATGAGGCTTTTAACCCAATAATCATAAACATGTGATGACTTAATTAAATATAAATAAGAGACAGTAAAAAAAAATAATGAAAATGTCACGACACCCATTAAATCCCCTTAGTCGATGTTGATAAACAGAGGAAAAACATCAGTTACAAACCTAATAAACATCTCGGCAGACACGTTAGATTCACAAGAAATTTAGATATAGAGCAAATTACAGTGCCATATTTTGTAAGAACACATCATTACAATGTAAAAATTGTCCAGCTAGCTAAAAGTTAACAACTGAGATGGGGAATTCCCAAAATAACACATTTAGGAAGAAAGAAATCTTAAAATTCATATATTGATTCAAAGTGAACTTGGTTCATTGACTTTCACTGTGTTTTCATTTGTAACAGATTATTCAATGTGAATTTAGTTCATTTTATTTTCAATTCATTGTTATTTTATTAACTGATCAACCGTGATTTTGTATTCAAATGTCGATTATTTTGTTTGATGAAATCACTGAATAATCGATTTATAATTGACTTGAAATGTAAATTAACTTTTTTTCTGAGGTCTCCACCGATAAATCGTTCTTACAAGATTTCTCTCTCATCCATCGTGCAGAGGATAATCGTTAAAGTATTGTGTAGTAGTCATCCGTCATTCAGTTTATCAAGTTAGTATAGATCCTGTTCCATATTGAAAGAATCTCCCATTTGTTCACAATTCAGAAAGACCGAACCTAACTGAAACTCAATTCATAAGGTGACACTTCTATTAACTTTCACAGTGCAACAAAGAATATAAACTTTTACCAAAACTGTCAGTATTAGATACACGCACAAACAATATGAGGATAGGACAAGTAAACATTTGTGAACAAAATTTGAACCATTATTAGTTAAAACAAAATGATCGTTGTTAGAAAATGTAGTTAGAGAGAAATTATATATTAAGCACACTCACACACACAGATTTACTTACCATGCAAATACAGTTCTTGACTACTTAGGAACTTTAATGCATAATAATAGTAACGATAATCGTACAAAAAGTGAAAACTAGATAGATGATTAGTTAACGTAAAGAAAAGGGAATGTAAATTAATAACGAAACTGAAAAGCAGTATTCCGATGACATTGTCTATTTTATTCTCAAAATAGTTCAAAAACGTCTGATCATGAAAAATGGATCTTGTTTAATGTCCCAATCAAGTTTATCGACAACCATTTCTTAGATGACAAACGAGGGATAAAAAAGATTTGGGAAATTGGAAACATTTAAAAACCAACAAACATGATAGGAATACACTTCGCAAGTCATTATCTGTATTCTTCTAGGTTAAACAAAACACCAGGGAATTCCAATCAGCAAATAAAGTGACACTTTTGAGTACCAAGAACAAGACTTGATTGTTCACTTGTCATAGTAAGGAAGGTAACATTACGCAGCTGTAAAGTAAGGTGAACAGCTAAAAATCTTAGCATACAGCCACTGACAGGGAAGTTCAAAGCCTCATTCACCCAACTTAACTTTGCCGCAAAGGTAGCATCATTAGTTTTCATGCAAGTAAAATGTGACTAAAATCCAAGAACATGAACCTGTATTTGATAAATGAGTCACACTTCTTTCATATCATGCGAAGAAACTGTATTACCAACTCCATGATCCCATCACCACCCAGAAACATTTTGAAAAAGTCAATGACCAGATATTCGTAACCTATTTATATTTTTTTTAAAATTTAGTGGGTATAGAGCTACGAGATACAAAACTAATATCACCAGAAGCCGGTACATAGTGATACCTGGTAGTAGTAAAACATGCAAGGACCTATTATTAATTAAAGCATCCGAATCCGTTAAAATCCACCAACAGTCATAGATTCTACGGACTGCAGAAATGATTAAGTCAGGTTATCTTTAATCTTTTTAAACACTAAGTTACCGAAGTAAAAACAATAGTATAAAAAAGAAAGAGATTAAAATATGAAGTAGTCTAAACATTAATTTGACCTAAGAACTTAAATATCATTGATCGAAAAAGAAATAAAATTAGTAGTTATGTGCAGCTTCTAAAAAATTCTCTTATTTAAGTGCTTTCTGTTAGGAACTACCTTTTAAATTCAATGAATACAAGATACATCAATTTGAAGTACGGATAACCAGGAGATTAAAATGGAAATAGACCTAAAAATCACAGGTTATTTGGTAACTTTTGACACGATATATATATTTTTTGTCTCTTTCACAATGAATTAAATTTATTGGTCAATGTTAAGCAAAATGAGATCTGACACAGCTTTATGGATCAGTTCAAATTACTACATTTTACAATATCGCATTTACTATGTGTAGAAATTAACAAGGTAAAAATGTGAAAAGACAGTCGAAATCAGTATGGATGATGATGAATGATCACAAAATAAGATGAATACAAAATAATGAATAAAGGTTAATAAGAACGTTACATATATAATGAATACCTGCTAAATGAGCACTGCCATTTTTTAACCCATCCACAGCTTTTTGTATTGTAGCATTCAAATTCATAGGATTCATAACTTCTTGACTATACGGTTCACAATACCAACTATTTTCACCGCCAACTTCAGTAGAACATATAGGCAAATGATAAAGATGAACACCTTTATTCTGTGTATGGAAAATAGAAAGAAAAAGTCAAAATGAGTATAATTTAGTCAACATTTATGCTGAAGTACAATATATATCTTAGTGACAAAACACTTGAATAATGAAAATTAGGTAAAGAATAGAAAATAGAACGAAGAACTCACTTGTTTTACTCCTGTCTCCCAAAGACCTTCAACTTGTGAACGAATAGGTTTACCATTAATCGTTGTATGTTCACTAAATGTTGTTGGCAGAATAACTCCATGATCAATTGGGTGACGACCTGTTAACGAAAATCGGAGCGTCATTTCATTTGTAAGCGTTAAGAAACTGTCTAAATTATCTGTATATGCGATAGAATAATAACAATACTTGTGATCATTAAGTTCGTGTTATTATTAGGAAACAATTGTCCTAACATTAATTAAATGACTTAAAAATTTATAGCTTCCTACTAGATAACGAAGTCGCTCGAGATGAAGCCAGTCACTTGAATATGATAATTGTTTCGCGAAGAGCTATTGGTGTAAGAAACTGTTTCATTAAAAAAATATGTCGGAAAAGGGCAGTTGAAGAAATTCAATTTGCAAGCCGGCTATAGGTTGAGTTAAAGCATGTTCTGGATGGTTTGAGTTGGAGCACGCCGGTTGGTTGTTTCTTAACTAATCAGTGGTAGCAGATACTTGAAGAAGGCTCTGGAATCTTCTTATGTGAAAATTAAAAAATATACTAACAGCTTTTCTTTTTGTGATGCCTGCTTCTATCCAACCTTGTTATTTGGAATATGATTGCGTTCCTGTTCAATCATGTTCTGGTTTGGGGACTTGTCGAGTGGAATGGCGTTCAGAAATACTAAGAGGATTCATAACACAGTATATAGACTTAAATATATCTCGAATTATTTCCTCACCACTGTGAAACTAATGATTTCCCCCTCAACTATTTATTTATTTTTTACTTTCTTATAAATCATAACAATCTTAACAATTGTGAGCGATTTTTGGAATATTTCGAATAGCCGTCAAGTAAGATGATAGAAATACACTTTACGTCAAATTCTACCCAGTAGAACAATGATAGAGCTGTGTCGGGTAGTTGTTCTTGAACTGTATGAATTACGCGAAGATGCTATGTAATAACCATAGTATGCCAGGGTATGTTTACAGAAAAATGAGTGAAATCGTCTTTAAAACAACCGACTTTATGGTTTAGATATGTTTGCCGTAATATGTCAAGACAGTTTTCGTATAAAACCACCATTTTCTGACACTAGAGTTAGTTGAATAAACAGGAGAGGTGGTTGGTTTATTATGCGGTCGTGAAGTGAAAGAACATTGTAACCAATTAGGATCTATGCGACTATTTGGGTGGATTCATGAAGACCATGGGACCTGTTTTCAAAGGCTATCGAATATGACTTAAAATCGAAGTTAGTAACCATTCCAATGAGACTTTATTTCGTTTTTGCCTAAAGTCAGATGTACTACTAATCAAAATGAAATGTTTGCCTTAACTTATACTGTTTTGAAATGGTTTTATAACATAATCGGGAATAACATGATTTTATATCTTTCATTTCCTTACAACATAATCATCTTGTTTACTGGAGTAACTCTTAATTTATATGAGATATCAGTGGTTAGGATCATCATATTAATTTATCAATTACTTGGTAGTTTATTCGCAAATCCTTGAGCTATATTCAACTTACTGTATGTAATTGATCGTTTTAGACACGAAATGCTGGACCAGTAAGTCATGGATCCATATTTAAGCTCATTTTGTGTGCTTCGATCAGTGAGTCAGATAACAGAACTGGCATTCAAATGCTTTACGTGACTGACAGCTTAGCATATGCAACTAGCTTCGTAGATTTTCTGAGATGTTTGAATTTAACCATGAACAAAAGTTAAACTAAATGAGATATAATACATAAACACTGTATACCTGTGAATAGTGAGTAAATATTCGGATAACATTCTGCAGGAAATACAGGAGTGAAACGTTGCAAATATGCACCATTTTTTTGTAGTCGTTTGAATCCGAATTCATTAGTATTAATTTCTAAATGACCAGCTATTACATCCCATCTTAGTCCATCAATTAGAAGAACCAGTAAACGAGATGCAGAACCTGACGAGTCATTATCTACGACTGTCGTTGTCACTGTTGAAATGTTCGTATTGAATAAACAAACTAAGATGTACAGAAATGTGTATATGTTCATATTGGGGAACTGAAAAAACAAGTAGAGAAAATTTTAAAATAACACTGGGATTTAGCAATGAAATGTTGATTTAAGAAAAAGAACTAATCAGTGAATGAACAGGTATATATTTTCATGGCCATAATATTATAAATACAATTTAATTAATTCATCACTAACAGCTGAAGGTGTTAGGACACCCAGATCTGTTATAAGATAATTAATGTAACATGGACTTGTATAGTCTACTCGAGGCATTTTTTGCTCAATTACGGGAACTCTTTGTGCTTCAACATCAGCCCATGCTGTTTTCATTTCCGGAAAATCGCAGTTATTTTCATCGTGAGTTAAACAGTTGTTCCCATCTGTTAAAATTAATAGAGTTGATGGTGATAATGATCCACACTCATGATCGTAAGACCATTTGAACTCATCAGGAATATGACGCTGATCAAGAGGATAACATCGCATAAATTTAAAAGATTCTGCAAGCACATAAACTGGTCTACCGAATGAAGATGCTGTCATTGCAATTAGTGAGGAACCAAGCATATTTAATATTCCACCGCTTTCCACTACAGCTTCAGCTCCTAAAACAACAAGGTCGACTTGCGGCATTAGGTAAGCAAGAGAGTTGTCTGGAACAAGAGTACAGGAAATTTTTAATCTAGCTAACGCTTTCGTCATTTTTGCACCCAGCCCGCTAGGTGCACACGTTGTCACATAACAATGAAGACGCTTTTGAGTAGATGCAGCATACGCCAGTGCAGCAAGAACAACACGGGAATAAGAGTGTAAGAATATCACTGAACCATTAGGGATGTAGTTCAGGAAGTTTTCTGCTATTTTTCGCCTACATGAACCGACCTGCAGTGAAAAAAAATCCTTAATTATTAGTAGTGAACTATGCATTCAAATATTGAGATTTTTAAAAATGTTACCAATCAAGAATATTTCGTAGGCACACATTAAATTGCAACTCATGGGTAAAGTCGGAGGTAAAAATAACACAGGACTGTGAGAACTAAAATTGCTTTAGTAACATACTAACTGCCATTCAAGAAGTGGAATACTTAATCTTTTTGAATGCTCGACACATACAAAAGGAGGGAGTTAACTGACAAGGCTAGTGATGATAATAAAACGATATACAAATATAGGAAGCGAATGGGATAAATTGTTAATGTGTTAGTATCTCTCAAAAGTAGAAATCTTGCGAACGATGAGAATGACAGTTCAATATAAAAACTAGCGTCTATTCATGATGCATGATTCCGTCGCAAGGTGTAGGCAACGCTTCTCGCCTTTTTACTATTTGTACAACCGAATTGGTATCAATAATAGTTCACCTTAGAATTTTATGCAAAGCATAATGTGATTTATGAGTCGTCTTTTACAAAATACAGGAATTTATATGCACGCGAACTTGGATGCGAAGAAATGACACCCGACATTTACAATACAATCTAAAAGAAATATGTTGCTAGAGTAATAAAATATTTCCATCATTACGATTTTTCCTTTAACAAAAATACTGTTAACGGTTGGAAGACTAATGATTTCAGCTAACCACAGTCCCAACTGTGACTCTGAGTTTGAAGAAGCTACGTTGAATAGGGCATCTATTCGATATCGAAGTAGTCAACAAATGTAGTAAGTCAAGTGATAAATCGGTGGTAGGTGCTGCAAACAATGATGGTTTTTGGATAAAAATAAACGTGAAGTAAACAAAAAAGACAAAACTTAAAAGTAATACATACCCAGGAAATATAAAACAGACAGTTATTAAGTCATTAGGTAGAATTTCAGGTAGTTGGGGTCTATGAATACATAAATTAAGATTCTTCTTAGCTTACACGAGCCTGAAGTAAGCATAGTAACTTTGTCGAACCAAAAGGAAAGCATGCTTGAAAGTGAGTAAAAACGTGTTTATTTTATGTATGGCATAAAACTTAAAATGCACAGGATATCAACGCTAAAACAGAAATTACCACCCTTAAAGGTACGTGTTAGCCTTACAAAATAGCGCATAAACGAGGTTTTAAACGATAAGGCTGGATACTTATGCATCTGCCTCTTTCCCGGTGATTATGAATTACTCTTAGTTATCGCGCAGTAAATATTTTAGGGATAGGCATTTGAACATGAACTAAGACATTGGTTTGCATTACGAATCACAAGAAATCCCAAGGAGGCAGAGGTACCATAAACCCGAAGTACAACGTTTAGTGAAAACATTTTTAAAATTCAGGTTCTCCTTTTTATCGGTGCCGATTCAAATACAGAACACTTATAACTGATAGGGTAACTTCAATGTTGGGTAAGTGTTTAAATTTAGGATGGCGAAAGCCTCCGACTATTTTTCCACGTCAACCTCTGGAAAGACTGGCCTTAAAAGAAAGGTCTTTGTAGTTTTACCAGTAACAAGTTTAAGGGATATTATTTAGTCGGTATGCGTGCATTAATACACCAACTAAGAAACAATTAATTCCTTCGGCACTATGCGGAAGCAAAGTTTCAAGCTAATCGTTACACAATATTATAGTCAAAAAGTGTACTTATGTAATGAGAACCATTAACTCAATACCGAGACAAAACATCGAAAATATTAATTCCCGGATTAGAATGGTTGAGATTATACTCGCCTTTCTGATAAATATCTGTGCCCTCTCAGAAAGAACTTTTTTGCATTCATCAAAATCGACTGTATCCAGTGTTGCTAGCGTAATAAAACGCTGGAATAATTCACAAGCTGATATAACCGAGAGATTGCTAACTCCCTCTTTCCACATACGTTCTATAGCTGTATTCATTACATCATGAAGTCCTTGAACTGTTGTGACATCGGAGCATTCATGAAGTTGCGCAAGGACTTCAATAGCAACAACAGCCTCTGACTTATCTGGATTCCTTTCACACAACACCTTGAAACGCCTAACTAGATCTAATATTTGACTAGTCATCGTGTGTGAAGGACGTTACTGTCGACCTTCAATTCTCAAGTGCATATCTATCCGATAAGAGGCTTTTTATGATCTATGTTTGTAACGTTCAAAGTCAATATTTTATCTGAAGGACCTATAACTTTTCGTTTGTTCTTGAAGATCCCAGAGAGAAAAATGTCCAAACGTTCTCTTCAGTCTTGGAGAGTAACGTTATTGATATGGCGGTATCTGGTAGTTTTCTTACGACGAGAGTACATTCCTGCAGATCTAGTCCAGTTTAGTTGCCTCTTGAATAGGTTCTTTTATTTTTGATAGACTGCTGTTCACTGTATATGCCGGATAAATATTGAACACTAATATCCACTGAGAGGTTACGAGAGATTCTAGTGAATGTTTTTGGTGCATCATGTCAAGCAAATCGTAATTTTTAAGTAAATATTGTTAAAAAATTTCACAGAATAGCTATTTTTTATAGTTTGTTCTTTAATCATCTTAGTTCCTTTCAACTTGACAGTGGCTATTTGTAGCTGCAGTTTGGGCCATGTGAGTTTTGAATCTCGATTCAAGGTAAATTTGTTTGGGATAAGGTGAATTTTTCACTGAATAAGGAGATTAAATCCAGTTGTAACTTGATCAAAGAAGGAACCCGAGCGTTTTGTCCATCTTCCAGTTAGAATCAGATTCAATCGAGATTCCCGGATAAGCAAAGTTAGTTCTTTGTAGGTATTGACAAAATATGGCTGAAAAACAGACTTCCCAGTCTTGTGAAGGAGCTTTCATGTGGTCATTAATTGCGTGAATCCCAGTGGACTGCCTCATCAACTTGGAAGATAAAAGCAATAGTAGCCTAAAAATCTACTAGTATTTGGAGGCTCAACCGAACGGAAGTACAGTTAATGTTGATGGGCCTAATCATAGTTATTTCAACATAATAGAGATTTGAACCTTATTACTTAATTACAGTCTTCTGATGTTTCACATGATGAGACCCAAAACTTTATATCAGTATCAGTAGTGTTTTTAGACAAACTTGTCGGTTTGACTGTTGTTACATGCGTAATCTTTGTTTCTTTTTTTGACTCTATAACATTTGGCAAGTTGTGACCAATTGCGTTATTTATTCGTCCGAATCTACATCAGTACTTGTCAAAAGGTATTTCGACTCTGTATGTTTTCAGAAAACATTAGTTGAATATTGCAATCAGTTCTGCAAGGACGATGTGAATTATTCATCGCTTCGTATTTACAATTTGTATTTTATGCACACAACTGTACAAAGATTGAAAAGCATATAACTTTAATTTTGCTTCATGTAATGTTCCCTTCAAATGATTAAAATAGTTCTGCACGAAGTAAAAAAGCTTTTGCCTGACGGACCTTTGTATCTAGTAGCAGCGGATCACTGATACCTCAAGGTATGTTTAAAAAAAGTTTTCTAGCCAGTTCCTGCCAAACAGTATTAATGTGGAAGTCCGATTTAGCATGTTATAGGTTATTTCAGTAGAGTAGCTAGTTCGGCATAAACTTGGAAACATGTGTTTGAATGGGGAGCACAGGGGAAGAACCTTAATATCACAGATTGATTGACCTGTTCTCAAACATAAAGAGCCTGATACAAACAAAACATTCTGCCCTTCAAACTTTGGTGGAAAATAATCCGTTCTTTTCTGGATGTACCATTTTCATGGTTGATAGAGTTCTTTATGGACAGTTTCTGAGTGTTTCTGGTTTTCACCCTTGTAGACTTCAGAATCATTAAGCTTTTTTCAATCGTGGTTCAAGGCATTTCTAAGGCCACGTATGTGTAACACCATTAGTATATTTCGGATTTCAGCTGGGTATGTTAGCAACCACAGCCGTGTATAGGTCAAAACAGGGAGTGGAGTTAATCTTCAAGACAGTTCATTAAACGATGTATCTGTTGATGAATAATATCCCAGTAAATAATTATACAAAGATCACTGGGACAGTCATATCAATATCATAGCGAATATGATAATTAAATATTCATAATATGCTTTTGTATAATCAAAGATACTGAAATATGCAAATATTCTCACGAAGAAATTGATATAA